CTTCCACGGGTGTAGTCGTCAGGTAAAATAGATGAGCAGAAATCAGTCACCTTCAGGGACAGTCATACGGCTGCAAACAGCGATACCTCCCCGAAGGCAGAGCTTCGGCGGCCTGCCTGCTCTGCTCCTCAGGGCTCTGACAACCTGAATATCCAAATTATATTCCCAGGAGCCCCCCCCAGCCCTGCAGAAGTGACTTATCTGGGGTGGGGAGGGCCACCTGTCCTGCAAATCAAGGGGCTTGTCTCGATATCTACTGTATTTCAAGGGAATGTAATTTATTGTCTTTAATAAACACTTATTAAATTTTAAATTAAAAATTTAAACACTTATTAAATAAAAAGATTTTGGTTTCTTCAACTCCACCAGTCTTGGGTTTGTGCTTTAAGACCTGAGAAGATTCTTCAGCTAAGGCCAGGACCAAAAGCCAGCCTGGGGTGTGTGGAGCCATCAAGGAGGGCTGAGGACCACTTGTCCCTGTCCCCCTGCCCAAGACTGGAGCTCGGGGGGTCCCCTCCTGCCAGCGCTGGCTGGGAGTGCCCTACCTCTCTGTCCTCCCTGGGGACACAAGGCAGCCAAAGCAAGGTTTGACCTTGTTTTCCCTTCAGATTTTTTTTTTTTTTTTGCGTGTGTGTGTGTGTATGTGTGTAAAACATCGAGCGGAACAACGTGAAAGATTACGTAAAATCACATTTTTCTCCAATAGATTTTTATGGCAGGTGAGGAACGGCTGGCCTGGGCAGGGGGGTGTGGGGGAAAGGCAGAGGGGCTGGAGCGAATGATGGGCTGATTTTTGGGAGGCCCCAGGGGTGGTTTGAGCCGTGAACCCAGCAAAGCTCCTCCTGAGACTGCCTTTGCCCCACAGGCTGCCACGTTACGTGGTTTCTTCCCCCGTCGCAGCCCCAGCCTTTAGTCCTTTGCCCGCTGCTCCGTGCCCAAGCCGTTAGAGAGCTTCCTGGGCAGCTGTAGCAAGGCATTTTTATGTCTTTTGTTATTATTCTGAGCGGAGATTATATCCGGAGGCTTTAAAGAGCTTTCAAACCCCCTGCCCTCCCCCGGCCCGTGGCTAGCGCAGAGCCG